AAAAGTCAAGCTTCACTTTTATTTGTAATTTTTCCTCCCACCCGCCAAAAGAAGAAAATTAGAAAGATGCCAATGGGCCTTTTGATAATGATCTCCTTTTCTTTTTTATTAATAATCAGTCAAGTATATTGTATTGCTATATTTGATTGATCTTAACTTTTTTGGCCAATTTTAAAGCTCTTTAGATATTCGTCTATCAATGGCAATTAAACTTGTCCATTGCTTAGTTTGAAATAGTTCTATGAACTATATTCACAACTCTGTACTTCACAGAGTGTGAATGGAGCATTCACTTTCATTCCAAGTGATGAAGGTTATAACATAATTCAGGCTAGGCTCTTTGTCTTGATTAGATTGGTCACCTTTGTTTTGTTATCAATTTACTCCAATTTGCTAAAGAATAAATAATTATACCCAAATGTTAATCTGGTTTATATCTCATAAGCTCTTCATCAAGAATATGGTTGTTCATGTATTATTATTATTTTAACATATGATTGGCGTGGATGTCCGTTTTAGGAACATCAATATTGGTATTATTACCTATATATTCATGTCGTGAAATAGAGTTTCATGTAGCTAGATATTGAATCAACACATGCTATCTTTTCCTATTCTTTCTTATTGTTCTTCACCTAACAGTTTTTCATATAATTTTCTTGGAATATACTTTATGTTTGTATTTCATGTATATGTTTTATCTGAAAGTACAAATGGTGGATTGATTTACCATCTTTACATATTTGGTAGAGACTAATTCACTTGGCCACTTAGTTAGTGCTTGATAGTTTGGTTTGTTCTACTTTTAGTTCAATACATGAAACACTCGAGGATGATAAGATGTGTATTTGTAAATGAAATGTGCAATTATATTCATATATATTCTATCTTTTAACATATATAATGTACTATGAGCGTGTTGCTGTGTGACTACTTTTGACGTTTTTCTTTTTTGGCAGGTTAAACTACCCAGCAGAACTAAGAGCAAAATTCACTTGCCATGTTACAGATGACTAAAGCCTCTCCTCCAACACTTAAATTGGTAATGGAAATGAACTATATATCTTGATACCTCTTTTAATTCATTCGATCTCTCAACAGACTGTTCCTTATATATTTATGTTTATCTTTCTTGAAACAGCCAGTGTTGAGTGTGCCTATATTGTGTTTAGTTTTATTTATTTCATTATAAGTTGTAGTTATCCACATGCTTCAATTGATTCTAACATGCCAATAGAAAGAGTTCTTTTATAATGTATGTTGTCTTTATTTTTTCTTTTTTGCAAGCTATTTATTTAATTAGTAATTTCAAATTAGTTTTATTTCAATCAAAACCTTGATGTGTTATGTTGTAATGATGTGTTTTTTTATGATTACATTTGTGCATGTCCAGTGTCTTGATTATAAGAAATTTAATTTATTTAGGGGTTAAATTTTATCTCTATCATACTATTTCGTTGATGGATGATTAATGCATTACTTCTTTGTCAGTTTTTCTTAAGTAATGGACTTTAAATTAAACGGTTAATAAAAAAGTTATTACTTTGTAGGAGGCTTCTGGGGTTTTTATCGTACTACAGATTTTTAAAAATCTCCTAAAGTTAGGACATTTTTACCCTGATCAACCAGTTCAAGCAAGGCATTTATAAAGACCAGGTAACAATCAAAGCATAGAATTTGGACAAAGATTTATGAGGGAGTTGAATCACCTATTTATATGTTCTTATCTATGGTATCTTAGTCATGCAGTTATTGTAGCTACTACTAGCAGAAAATGTTTCAGCAACCAAGTCATAAACAAGTAGTGCCTTTTGACTGTTATTTTGTATGGTTAGTAGGTAGTCTTTTATATTTGTTACTATTTACTAAAGATGTAACTTGTGTCTTTGTGTTTTTGAAATCATGGTTGTTCTAAGGGGTGTGTTCCTATTAAAGGTTTAAATAATAGATTCTCTAAAGATTAGAAACAATCCTTAAATCATATCAGCATTCTAAATATTGGGCCCGTGCTATGCACGGGGCAAGGCTCATCTAGTATAATATAGATAGATTAAAGAAAGTTGACCATTGAATAAAATCTATAGCGTATTTTCTCCTTCACTCAAACTCTTTAATGAGAAATAATTTATGTTTAGTTATTCAATTTGAAAAATACTTTTGAACAGCAATTAGTGTTTGATCAAACTTTTATGTTTCTAGTGTATTTTTTTCAAAAGTGTTTTTTAATAAATGTACTTTCAGGAAGAAACTATTTTTTTTGCTTTTTAAAAATTGCTTCAGTTTCTACTCAAAAGCACATCTTTTCCTACTAAAATCTTGATCACGCAGAAAAAAAAATAACTTTTGGCAAAAAAAAAATAAAAAATACGGTCAAATAGGTTATTAGACTTTTATACTATGTCAACTTGTCAAGGTGTGATGAGATACTTCAATTAATTGGCAAGAATTTTAAGCAGCGTTAATTGGCATATTGAAAGAAGATGTAATCTAGTAGCGTTCGGGCATAGGATTTGGCTATTTACCACATTTTAGGTTTATCCATGTGTTCTCTACCTAAGCTTTATTCTTGGTCTCTTCGCCTCAAATCGCTATTCCCTTCTTAAGCTTTAAGCCATTTTCAGTTAGGTACTTTATTTCCCCGTATTTCCAATTGGGTACTCGTCCTCATCATATGTAGTAAGTAATAATTTTTGATAAGATATTACTCCCTCCCACAGTTTTAATTTATGCACACAATTTTATTAGACACCAAGCCTAAGAAAAAAAAAATTTAAAATTTATAGTTTAAAACTAAAATATTATGTGACTATAAATCATCTCATTAAGAATAAAAAGAAAGTTTTTAAAGGTAAATTGTTTAAATATAATTATACAACATTTTTTTAGAAGAACTAAACATAAAAATATGCACATAAATTGGACAGAGGGAGAGTATATGTCTCATAATCCGAAAAGATATATGAGCTTGCAAACATGAAAGAAAAAACAAATTAAGTATTTTAACAATGAGAAAGTACCCAAACACATTAAACTAATCATTTGCAGTAACAAAATAGTACTTATTTATCTAGGCATATTAGCAAGGATCGCTAATATGCTAGACAAATATTTTAAAGCAGTTAATACATTTAAAATATTTTTAAAAGTATGTGAAAATAAATATATCTATACATCAACTCAGTTCAATTTTCTTTCTTTATTTTCAAACTAATAAAGAACATTAATTTCATAGTTCGCTTTCTTTTATTTAGCTTTTTTTTTCGGGATTTCTTAAATATGTGAATATTAGACCTAATAAGGAGTGTGATTAAGTAATAAGTACTTATATATTCATAATCTAATCAGAGAATTCGAGTTCGAGCTCTGAATATAAAATTAATTTTATTAGGAAAAACTTTTACTCCAGTGTAAGACTTTTTCGTCCAAATTCAAATTTATTTGGGCGAAGGAAAACCAAAAGAATTGAATATTGACAAATGGACAAAGTACCCTTGCTAAAAAAAACAAAGCAACTCTTAACGTGTCACTCTCATCTCTTCACCGACATGACTTGAAGCCTATCAAAAAAGTAAATATTTTTTTGGTCCAACTTCTAAAATCTTCTTATTTTAAGAAATTTTTTTTTTTAAAATTATTTTTCAAAAAGATACTTTTGGTGAAAATTGATTTGTGTTTCGCTAATTAATTTGAAAGCACTTTTGAGCAGTAATTAATGTTTGATCAAACTTTTGAAAACTCCTTCTAAGTGTATTTTCTCAAAAGTAATATTCAGAAATGTGTTTTTGGAGAAAAACTACATTTTTCTGCTTTTCAAAAACTGTTTTTGCTTCTCATCAAAAGTTTATGTAAATAAAATACTAGTAATAAATAAATAAACAAAAAAAAAAAGGAGCACCCTCTTGATAAAACAAGCCACCAAAAATGATGTGTACCTTAGAGGATGTTCAATGGGCGCATTTATTATTTTACAACCAAACCTAAAAGCTAGGAACGATTGAAAGTGGCCCTAATATTAAATTGAATTCGTATTTCCTTAGAAAAGTTGTTGTTGTTTTTCTTCTTCTTCTTCTTTTTTTTTTTTTTTGGTTTTTGCTTTTTTGGAAAAGCCTGCAATAAGATAATTAAGAGAGAAGAAGAAGAGAAAGATTTATACCTTTGACGATGTAATAAGATAATACCACTGATCAACTGCAAATTTTAATTAAAATGTTATATTTACTTTGGAAAGCTAAATGCACTTTGTATTTTATGAACATCAGTGGAAAAGAGACCCCATATTAGACGAAATTATTGATAATGCAGAAGAGAGATGAATAATTTTAGAGGAAGATCTAGCTTATAAGTTATATATTTAGTAGGACCCAACGATTTTTATCAATCCTTATATTTATATTAAAAATTTATTAAAATTTGTAAATATTTAATTATAAACTTATTATTATTTATATTAATCTGCGATCGTTATAAGAACTTGTAAACTTCAAATTCTAAATCCGACTCAATCACGTACGTTTGTATCCCATCAAAAACTCGATCTCGATATATTTTTGACATTGACAATATGTGCTTGAAATTGAAACGTTATTTTGCCTTTTTAGCTAACATCATTATTTTAAAGGTTAATAACTTCAACAAAATGCGTACAAGACTGTCCAAACCAACGTGAATTCATATACTTAGCTTTTATAATTTTTTTATTATTGCATATCGAAGTTTTTGACTAAATGATCAATATCACAAGGTCATTTAAAAATATATATTTCTGCATAATTAACAGTAAAGTGGAAACTGTTTAGAATTTTACTTAGTATTTCCCAATGTATCCAAAAAAGTAGAGTATAAAATGTCTTAATTAGATCTTCATCGTTCAAAATTGTAACATCACGGTTCAAATTTTGACATTTTTAATTACGTAATCATTTTAAAACTTTGAATCCAAATTTATGACAATAGTCTTTCTGTTAAGTATTTATAAATACCCAAAAGATAAACCAACAAACCATCTTTCTATATTATCGATTTCCAAGTTGAGCTCAACATCACAATCCATTTAACACTATCTTCAAGCTCTCCATTTTGTTTCTACAAGAAAACATCAAATATATGGCGATTTTGATATCAAGATCAAGAAACTTTAACCATTTTCTTCTAAGCACAAGGTTTCGTTTCTTATCACTCCTAAACCAAACAAGTTCAGAAACATTTTTCCGCCATGCCAAAACTTCATCATTTACAACTGCAGCCGGCGGTGGTTTTACAAAGTCGACGGCGGCATTTTCCGGCGAGTCTGCCGCCGTTTTCCGGTTAGAACGTTTCCAGTCCAATAAAGCTGGAGAGCAACTAAATACACTCTACTATGAAGAAGATGAAAATCACCAAATTAGTTATGAAAATCAGGTAAGATATTCCTCCAGCTGGTACTTGTTTTTTTTTTCCTTCTAATTTTCCGCCTTCTCCCACTCTGTTTAAAATTCTTGTTAAATCAAACTATGTCACGTAGATTAAAATGGATGGAGTTTAATTTTTTTAATATAAAATACGGTGGATGAATAAGTTATACTCTAATATCAATATATATAATCGAAATAAAGAAATTGGACATAAAGGTTTTCTAACGATAGACCTCAGCGCAAAGTGCATGAAAAGGGATAAATTCAAAAACAAATAATAGAAATTTTCAGAAACCAATACTACTCCTTAGTCTTTTAACTTCCTATAGCTACATATACATAATTACTTTTTACACCTACTAAACAATTATTATGATAGTGTATTTACTGTATTTGTATTGTTGTATTCATGAATACAGCAGTAAAAAGTGCCTAAAAATTAGGGTAATCTAGATGTACGTGCATGTATTCCAACAAAGAGAAATTTTCAGAAACCACTATTGTTTAGTGTCTATTAACTTCTTATAGCTACATATACATAATTACTTTCTATAGCTACTATTCAGTTGTTACGGTAGTGTATTCGTTGTATTCGCGCTGCTGTATTCATGAATACAGAAGCAAAAAGTACCTAAAAATCAAGGTAGTCCAGCTGTGCGCGCATGTATTTACATGTATTTGCGTCACGTATTCATAAATACAGCAGCAAAAAGCGCCTAAAATTAGGGCAGTCCAGTTATACGCGCATGTATTCACATGTATTCGCGCTACTGTATTCATGAATACAACAGTTAAAAGCACCTAAAATCAGGGCAGCCCAGCTGTACGCGCATGTATTCACATGTATTCATGAATACAACAGCAAAAAGCGCCTAAAATCATGTAGTCCAGCTGTACGCGCATGAATACAACAGTAAAAAGCGCCTAAAATCAGGGTAGTCCAGTTGTACGCGCATGTATTCGCGACATATATTCATGAATACACTAACGGCAATCACCTTAAAATAGGTATGTCCAGTTGTCTAAGAAAGAGGAAAAACATAAATAGCGTATTTCATGCCTTATTTTATGTCTCAATGGTAGTATATATCATAAATACTGATTTTGTTATAAAATATAAAAGATAAATATAGAAAATAATATTTTAAAATAATTTTGATTTATAATTAATAGGGCGTATACTTTTGATATAGGATGTGGTAAAATTTCCAACAAATAATTGAACTGAAACCTATCTGAACACTGAACCGGCCCACAACAAATTAGCTAGTTGATTTCTTTCTTTTATATTCGTTTATACTCTCATCATGTGATAACACAGAATTACAATTTTTTGTAGAATTTATTGCAAAATGTAATCTATTTATTAGGAATATCTTCATCCTTTTATGTCTTTGATTATGACAAGGTTCAATCACGTCCTATGTTGGTTGATTACATAATATATATGTGTTCGATTATGCATTTGCTAGATCGTCGTTTTGCACGATTGTTTTATTGATTTGATTATATTTCCGTATCCTATTTGTAGTGATAGTTAACCTCACTAATTAAGTGACTAATTATATATTATTCATATCTTTGAATTATCTTATTCACTCATTGTTGTTTGCATACCATGATCATATATTTTATTCATGTTTAAACCTTAAAAATTGTTTCGTAATACTTTGCTTAAAAANATATATATATATATATGAAAATTCTCCTTATATTCTTCCTTATTCAACTTCAAAATAAAAGCATCTGTTTTAATTTTAATTGCTCTTTTGTCCCGTCTTATATTAGTTGCCTCGGCTTTTTGCAGTGTTCAAGAAAAATGGCTCAAATCAGATATATAAAACCATTAATTAAGCACGTTTTGCAATTGAGCTATTATCATTTATATCTTGATGATCACGTGATACTTTTTTTTTTTTTTGGAGGATAACTATAGGATTTCCTCGAGCTTCTAGACGCTTTAATTTTGATAAAAGTGATGACTCACCTTAACGTGTTCCATTTTGAAACATCTCAAATCATCCCATTTCAATTCTCCTGTTAAATCCGTCAAAGAAGAAAGGAAGAAAAAAAAGGTCTGGCCTTTATCCAAGAAAAATAAATAAAACCAAAAATATGTATATTTGCTAAGGTTTAAGCGTGATATTCAAGTATTTTTATTTTAATAACTAACTACTACACTTACAAGTAGAAGATTTGATACAAATAAGCTAATACTTTTTCGCCTCTCATTGAAATTTTAGAATCATTAGATGCTTGTATTTGTTATACTATAAACCAAAAAAAAAAAATGTTAAAGCGATATATAATAGTACCAAACTTGAACAATCGTGACGTCTTAATAAAATTTTATTCTAATGTTGTAAATAGTTCAACCATTAAATTAGGGGGTGAAGCCACAATGAGGAGGAGGAGATCATATTCTTCTTGCGTTACTTATGTTTTTTGCTCAATTTTTGGCGAAGTGCACAACTAGTCATTTTTAAGCATGTTATTTAAAATATATTCATAATTTATAATGTATTTAAATATTAGCCAATTCACTCAAATTTCAAAATATTTAAAATATATTCATAATTTACAATATATTTAAAGATTAACAAATTCACTCAAACTTCAGGACATCTTAATTCTTAATACACATAGATATTCTTAATACACATTTTAATATTCAGATGTGTATTCAAATTTAGATATATTAATTTTAATACACATCTTGATATTCAGATGTGTATTTATATTCAGACGTTTTAATCTTAAAAAAATAAATGAGGCTTAAATAAAGCTTAAAGCATTTATTTCAAATACAACCTCAAATTTAGTAGTGGTGTAGTGCTATTCCAGTTTTATTGAGATTGAGTAGTATGGATTTGTCCTAGGGTTGAAGAATCAAGCCAAGGAGAGAGGTCTAGGGTTAAAACTTTCGAGATGGAGAGAACTTTTGATGGTGCATATTTTTGCTTTTAATTAATCTTATGCGATTTAAATTTAAATTAGGTAAATCAGTAAATTTCTAGTAACGGATAATTAAGCAAAAAACAAGACGAGGAGAGAAGTGGGAAAAAAAATAGATGGGGCCAAATGACCACGCAATCAATTGGACTAATACAATACTCTAAAAATTGGTTGGGTGGGCCATTTAGAATGACATGACATGGATGGACGTTACGTCAATTTTGAGTGGAAAAATAATTGATTTTCTAAAAGGATAAACACTTTCTGACGTGAGTGGTAAATGGATAGCCACAAGCCTTAAATCAATGAACTCAGTTTAAGGAAAATATGGGGTAAGAAAGAAAAAGAAAGCGCAGAATTGGATCTAAAGAATTTGGTTAATGGACTGTAATTCAGAAGTAATTTTTTCGTTAGGTTAGAATTTATAAAATCAATTTTATCTATCTACAATTTATTCAGTTGTCAGTTTGTTAGGTAAGATATAATGAATTCGTTTAAATGTACACAATTTATTCATTTCTCAATCTTTAAGAATTATGTAGTAGGTAGCACCTCTTCCTCTTTTCCTACTCGCGATCAATGCGGTATTAAATCTTATGTCTTTTTAACTCCAATAATAATAATAATGGTTGTATAGAAAATTAACATAAAAGCATTAATTTGGACTGAGTCTTTAATTCTTTATACGTATATACTCTATTGTTCTTCTAACTATGAGCAGAAACATGGTTAAACCTATGTTAAGAATAGCTGATTCAGATCCCATTATTAATTGGAACTACTTGATTGAGTTTGTATAGAAATGATTATGGTCTAGAAAATGATGGAATTGAAGAACGAGTTGATTGGGTTTGTTTAATAATGGGGGTCCAAGATTCATGTCTAGCCGGCCACGTGTACCTCTAGTCTCTAGATGCAAGCAGATGATGTTACACTTAACACTACAAGACAGAACTTTATTTAGTACTCTTGTCAGTTGATTGATGTTTTTTTAATAATTGATTTCATTACTCAAACTGCATTGATTTGATTAATTTGCGATTAAAGAGGAGCGCTTATCAATATTAATTCGAGATCTCTAATTAAATATTAGTACTAATTTGTTTCATAAAATTGAAACTTGTAATTAAGACTTAGTCATCCGGGCCACTCGTTGGTGGTAGTGTTACTTCCCCTGTCTGTCTCATTTTGTAGTAAGTTGGCTATCATGTAAAATGACAAAACAAGTTCCTTCTTCTACTGTCTTATTAACTCGTCAAATATTCTTGATAAATAGAGCTTCAAGAAAACTTAGAAGAATTTACTTGACATGATATTATGGGATTCCTTAGAATCCTCTTCTCTAATTCTAGGCTAATCCATAGAATTGGTAGTAAACAATTCCATGCCTCCCCTGGTGCACTTGTTGGTTCTTCAACAATTCACCGTTTTGAGTCAACCAACACACTGAAAGTGCAATCTTCTCTCTTTACAGAAAATGATGATGATTATTTTCAGGTTATTTTCACTTATTCACCAAGTTCTATTCACTGATACTTATTTAGACAGTTTTGAATTTGCTTGGTATTACTGAATATTGGCAGGTGATGGATTTCCCTGGAGGACAGCTTCCAATTACTCCTCAAATGAAATTTATTGCAGAGTCTTCTGAAAAGAGGTTACCTTGTTATAGAGTCCTTGATGATGATGGCTATCCAATTCCAGGCAGCATTTTTGAGGAGGTATTTGCAATTCTTTCATCAACTGTAGTTAGAATATCCATTTCTATGAATTTTGATGTATTTCCTTGATGTAAAATGTGGTAGGTGAGCAAAGAACTGGCAGTTAAGATGTATAGTTCAATGGTGGCACTTCAAGTTATGGATACCATTTTTTATGAAGCACAAAGGCAGGGGAGGTTATCCTTCTATCTCACTACTGCTGGAGAAGAAGGTATCAACATAGCATCTGCTGCTGCTCTCACCCTGGATGACTTCGTCTTGCCTCAGGTACTCGCTTTTATTCATAGGCCAACATCTAAAGTTTATCATTTTATAACTTTGAGTTCAGTTGAATACATTTAGCATTAGCACAATGATTGAACCATAGATACCAATGTCTTTTAATAATAGTTTTATGATCCTATAAATAACCTTGGAAATGATGTAATTTAACATGTTATTATCCATCACAGTACAGGGAAGTAGGTGTTATCGTATGGCGGGGCTTCCCCCTGAAAGAGATTGCCAATCAATTGTTCGGAAACAAGTTTGATTATGCAAAAGGAAGGCAAATGCCATGCCACCATGGTTCTAACGAGCTCAATTACTTAACTATTTCTTCGCCAATAGCGTAAGATTTCAAAGATTTTTTTAGCATTTCCTTTCTCCCCTTTCTCTAAAGATTCAGGATATTCGATCTAAAACAATTTTCTGCTCCAAATTCCATTTACCTCAGGACACAGATTCCTCAGGCCGCTGGCGTTGCTTACTCTCTGAAAATGGATAAAAAGGAGGCTTGTGCTGTTACTTATCTTGGAGATGGTAGCACTAGTGAGGTGATTAAATTAACGCAGTTTTTAGGAGTTTTATAATCTAATGGAATTATTAGCTGACTTTCTCTTGATATATTTGCAGGGTGATTTTCATGCTGCTTTAAACTTTGCAGCGGTTTTGGACGCTCCTGTTGTATTTATATGCCGCAACAATGGATGGGCCATTAGCACTCCTGTAAACGAACAATTTCGAAGTAATTTTCCAAACTCATTTGATACAAAATGCACCCTTTACTAGTGCAATTTTCTCCATCGTAAACATAGTTTTCTCCTATGTGTCATAATGGCAGGTGATGGAGTCGCCTCAAAGGGGCAAGCCTATGGAATTAGAAGCCTTCGTGTAGATGGCAATGATGTCTTGGCAACTTATAGTGCTATTCGTGCAGCTCGCGAAATGGCAATTAAGGAACAAAAGCCAATATTAGTAGAGGTGAAGTGTTGCTCCTTCATAAAGACCAATTTCTGTTCAAGTTACATGACATGTTATGATATCTGCACTGAATCTTGAAATTGTTAATATAGAAACTTTCATACTAAAAACTTCCAACTTTTGTGTAACTTTTAGGCCATGACTTATAGAGTAGCCCACCATTCAACATCTGATGATTCAACCAAGTATCGACCCGTCGAAGAAATAGAGCACTGGAAAACAGCAAAAAGCCCAATATACAGATTCAGAAAATGGATTCAGAGAAATGGTTGGTGGAATGATGAAAATGAATCTGAACTTCGCAGAGACGCCAGAAAACAGGTTAAAATTTCAAGAATCATATATAGCAAAACTTGAATGATATTCTTCTAATATACTATGCTAGTAACAAGTTTAAAATGGTTCTTAATTAGGTATTGCAAGCAATGCAAGCAGCAGAGAAGGTGGAGAAACCTCCATTGACAGATTTGTTTACGGATGTTTATGACAAAGTGCCATTAAATCTTCAAGAGCAACAGAAGTTTACAAGAGATGCTGTAAAGAGATCTCCAAAAGAATATCCTTCTGATGTTCCTGTTTAAGGCTAATCCGTTACCTCAGTAACATATAATAGCTACTTTATTCTGAAACTGCCTGTTAAATGTAAGCTACATTATAAATAAAAGTTCTTTTTATAAGTTCTTACCTTTCTCGTCTAAGGAGTATATGTTTCGCAAGATTTAGACAGAGATTGTTTTTCTCTTTTTTCTTTCCAAAATTTGGCACTGATAAGGGTTTTGATTTGCAATGGAATCGTCACCCAGCAATAATTTTTTTTCTTTCCAAAATCAATATTGGGTGAGAAATTCTTTTGATCAATAAAGAAATCCAGTGTACATCAGAAAATAGTGCACAAGCTAATATCTTGGATTAAGGAACCTAACATCTGAAAATTTAAGATTTTTAGTATTTGACCTATTATATATACAGTTAATATTATGCTTTCAGGTCTACTACTTTTTTGGTAAATTTAATGAAATTTATGTTTTGCATCAAAAATATTGAGTTCATATGAACCTGATGTCACAACACGTTGCATCTGCAGTCAATCTGCCACTTTGTTTCCCGGAAAGCAGTGAACAAGATGGCATGAAAGAACCAGCTTGACTTGCCTAATGTGCACTAATTACACCATCTCAAATTCTCCAATGTATTGATGCTAGAGCTTCAACACATCCATAAAAATATTAGAAAATCCACGTCTGTGACAATACATGCCATTATGCTCATAGATCGCTTCTAAAAAGGTGGGACAAGACTTTACATATGAAAAAATAATCAAAATAAACAACATAGTGCATGCATCACATCATAGCATATCATATTGAGGACCCCTCCTACGTTCATAAAACAAACATTACGTATATATCTTTGAGAACGCATTGGAAATTATCCAATAAAGAATGAAAAGCGAAAACCGATGTATACGATATGGTAGGAGTGTACATGAATCGGGTTAGTTCGATTTTTATTAAAATCGAACCAAACCAATTATATCAATTTGGATTGATTCGATTTTGTCGGATTTTTCAAGTTTTTCGGATTTTTTTGTTACATGAATACTATATTAATCTTACATTGTTAAATTTTTTATAAGTAAATATATGTTTAATAAAAATTAAAAAAATTGACAAACATATATGTAGACATATAAAATTCGTAAAATAAAATTCATAAGTTAATTTGGACTATATTTTAAATTTAAGATATATTAGTCCAAATAAATTTATTGGGCTAATATAATTAGATTAATTATATAAGTCCGATATAGATAGACTTAATAAATTAGTCCAAGTTCATTGGGCTACAAGCGATAAGCACACTCTATTAAGCCCAAGATGCCATCTTCTTAAAAGCCCAATTTGTTGGCACGCCAAGTCAAACGGAGGAGTCAATGAGGTCATGCCACGTGTCAAAATGACAAAGCATGCCAAGCCAAATTAAAAGGCCAATGAAACCACGCCATGTGTACAAATGACATGTTCTGGCCAATCAAATGCGGCTTTGTCACACTTCAATTTGATTGGTCGAAAAGAGTTTGTTATTATCATAACTCTTCTCTCTCCCACAACTATAAATATGGGTCTTCATAACCCAGAAAGGGGACCAGAAGTTATAACAAGAAGCAAGAAAGAGCTCGTGGATCAAACGTTGTAAATTCCTCCACAAGTTTCAAGCTTCAAGCAATCAAGTTCAAGTTCAAGCGCAAGAATGAAGAACAAATCAAGTTCAAGCTCAAGAACGAAGAACAAATCAAGTTCAAGTTCAAGCAATCAAGCTCAAGCTCAAGAACAAATCAAGATTCAAGGAATACGAGTTCAAATCAAAGTTCGTGCTAGTTGAATTCAAGATCATCGTTCGTGGCAACAAATATAGGTTCAAGATCAAGCTCAAAGGCCCTTGAATTTAATTACTATTGAAAAAAAGAATCAGAGGATTCATAGAGATTGTACACTCAAATTATTTGAAATCAAATACTATGATTGTTGCAATAATTTTTTCGGTCTTGATTTTTTTTTGCTCGACGTAATTTATTGTCTACAATATGATCTATTAAAATATTATTATGGGATAATTTTTTTAGTAACACATGATAGTTATTTTTTTTAGTTATCTGACAATAATTTTTCGTTGATGTACACTTTCAAAGTTAATGGAATTTAATAATTAAATATAAAAATTAATATGATACCTAAATAATGATATGTTATATTTAATTTTCAATTATCTAAATACCACTTCAAAATTGAAAAAATATAAAAATTTAATAGATCTTGGCATATGAATAAGGAAGAACAAAGAGATTGTGGTATTTCAATAACACTTGATAAGAAAGTGATCATACAACACATTATTTAAAGTTAATAAAAAATAGAACCCTTTATATTCAACAACAACAACAACAACAACCCAGTAGAATCCTATTAATGGGGTCTGGGGAGGGTAGTGTATACGCAGACCTTACCCCTACCCCGAAGGAGTAGAGAGGCTGTTTCCGAAAGACCCTCGGCTCAAAAAAAAAAAGACAAAAGGACAAAAAGGGAAACAATATTAGTATCACAACAACACTCATAGGATAAATAGCAACACCATGAAATCCAGAAGAAAGATGCAAAGCAAAGGGAGACAATATTAGTAAATATTAGTATCGCCACAACAATCATAAGAAAAATAGGAACNCCACCTCCACTCATCCGGCATCCTCTTCCCCTCAAAAATACTATTAAACAACCTAGTCAACCACTCCAAACCTGCTCTCCCCACACACTTCCAAAATTCCACGGGAATCTCGTCTGGACCGGTCGCTCTGCCCCTACTCATCTTACGCATAGCTCCTACGACCTCCTCAACCTCGATACGCCTGCAGTACCCAAAGTCACGGTGACTCTCGGAATGCTGCAATTCGCCTAGCACAATATCCCGATCCCCTTCTTCATTCAGAAGTTTATGAAAGTAAGTCTGACATCTCCTCTTAATCTGGGCATCTTCCATCAATACTCTACCTTCTTCGTCCTTGATACATCTCACTTGGTCCAAATCCCGAGTCTTCCTCTCCCTCAACTTGGCCACCGTATGTACTATAACGATGGTGGAATCATTAGTAAAGCCCTAAACATGGCCACACGTGACGTGCATGTGACGAAACACAATAATTCGCTCATGTAGTGCGCTCTTGGATAACACTTCCTTCTAGGGATATTGAATATCCACTTAGGGTCCTAAGTGTCTTCAAAGTCATATATTTTAATAACCACACACTTTCTAGCCAAATATATCATAATCATAACTTTCAAAGTGTAAACATATTCTTGAGTCATTTGAAACACATAACATTTTTAAGTTTTTGATGAGGTCATTCAAACACTTAAAAGGTTTCTATGCAACACATAAAAGCTTTTACACGTCAATAATAGTTCAAGTATATATGTTCGCCCCACATATATATAATCCCACTTCATCATGCAATTCATCAACCACATCAAATGTGAAAACACTTATCAGAATCTCAATGTAGAAGATAGGTATCCCCTCAACTCTATTAAAGCTTATGTAATTGCAGCTACGCGTTCAACGGTGATTCTATGAGGTTCAATCTAAATTATATTGTATAGAATAACTATGTTATCATAGGTTAATGGAAGCTAGTTCAATACTTCAACCCTTTTAGTTTAGCCCTGGACCACCCAACACCAAAAATCACATATTTTGATATTTGTTTGATTGACTGTCGAGTAATTTGGATGATGACTATGGCGTATGCTGTTAATAAGCTTGTTGAATGCTTGTATGATGGTAGGACCGCCTACAGTCCTTGCAATGTTACGTAGATGAATCCGGATTTTGTTGAAAATTAGGTTTTGATGATTAACAAACATGTTACTTGGCTGAGCCTGAGACCTTGGGTCTGGTGGTTGGTCTTGCATTGCTTAAAATCCTAGCAATGATAGAGATTCACTTTCGTGCTACACAATAACATATTTCACTTATGATGACATGAAAGTCGCATAATATTATTAAGAATCTTGACTGATCTTTATTTCTTGCGTTTTGGCAAGATTTAATGAAGGGATTATGGAAGTTGAAAAAATGGCTAAAAGAAAAATAATTTACTTCCTTTATTTGCTAGGGTTAGAAGATTTTATTTTATTTGGTCAATACTCATCTATAATCGTGGCCACCTACTATGCATTCACATATATATAATATGGGTGTAATGACCTGATCGGACAGTTTAAGTTATAGCTTTTCATTTAGTAATTTGAAACCTTGAACAAATTCATTTGACGTTTTATGACTTGTGTGCATAGTTCGTTCTAATTTCTGAAAAGTTTAGATGTGTTTTGAAAGAGTAATTCTAATATTAGAGCCTTAATATGGATGGAGTTGACTGCGGTCAATACTCTAGGTAAATAACCTTGGATCGATGTTTTGACGATTCCAGTAGGTTCGTGTCACGATCTAAAATTCGCCTAGTCGTGATGGTACATAACCCAATCTACTAGGTAAGCCAAATAACAGTCATCACAATTCTAATGAAAATAATAAGAAATTTATAAGTGAAATATCTAAATTTCCATACAATAACCCAAGGATTAGTAGTACAGGTCATGAGCCACTAAGACTTAGATTTATAAAACCGGTATGAAATAAATACAATATATGTTTGATACATACATAAACAGATTGCAAATCTAAAGCTACCAAGAACAAGTGGTAGTGATCTCCGAAAGCATGTACATCTTCAATTCCAGCTCCCGCCATGAACATCAACTGCAAAATCTGCACGAAAGGTGCAGGAGTGTAGTGTGAGTACAATCGACCTCATGTACTCAATAAGTAACAAACCTAACCTCAGGTTGAAAGCAGTGACGAGCTCGGAAGAAGGTCAGTGTCCAACACCAGTAATCAATAATAACGCATGATATAATAATGCCAATAACAGTAAATGACTCAAAAGATACCATATTCAGCTCGATTAAAATTCGAAAAATTAGACCTATTTTACAAGTATAACAGTTGAAGCCCAAATCTTTTACCAAAATCACTAAAATATGAGTTTATCATTTAACTATGATTTTTTCCAAACTTTTAACAATAGAGAAGACATTTCATTTACGAGTTAGCATGAGAAAAATACATCTCTATG